TCGTGTGAAATTCCTTATCTCAACAAGCCCTAGGGAGCCGCGCACCTCTTTTTATACGACCCTCATTAACACCTATTGACTAATTGACCAATCAAATTGGGCTCCATCGGCCAGGGTCCCGGATGAAAGGAGGGGGTAGCGGCTACTCTGTCCCCCCTACTCATGACGTAGAGATCCCTATTTTTAACAGAGAGTGGTCAGTCTAGGGTTAATGGCTCCTATACTATCTCAACTGTGTGGCTGGGAGGAATCGATGAACCCCAGTAAATTACACATGAATTGTGAAACACAATTCTGGTGGGCTGGAAGCTTACGTCAGCTAGGAAATAAAGACGGGGTATAACTTTGTTACAATATCAAAACAAAAGTTATCATGATTGGTGTAGAATGCTTCGATTAAACTAGTAACATGTATTATAGTTCTCCATTCAATCAAATCAAAAAGTTGGTACTTTAAGGTTCCCTGTCCCACTGCACTCTGTTCTTTTTGTATGTATAGTAACCTTCCCTTGATTTCGTTTTAAATATAGTTCAGTCAGAGAGGAAGTATGAAATCTTGAGCCCATGGTTCTTATCGCGGTCAAGTCACGCTAACTTTTTACACTCAGAATACTATTGATGCTTATAATTTATTTCATCTTCATTGTTTTTCATTAAAGTCCTCCTGCATAGCATGCCATTCTTTTCCGATATGATTTTTAAAACCTACAGTTATGCCGGGGAAACACTTTCCAATCCCTAGTTACTTTTGTTGACAGTGGTTCGGAGATCCCTAAGTATTGTTGACAAAGACTGGTAAACCCATTGTCAGTATAATGTGACCAGTTGCAGTGTCATGCTTTGCTTGTACAAGGTATGCCATTTCATTGAGGAGGCGCTGTTAAAGTGACATCCGTCGTGAACGTTTTCAAATGACCCTGCCTCTTGTTTAGACAAAAAACAACACCAAAAAAACATAGATCATACTAAAGCAAATGTAAACATGGTCTGTGTAATAAGCAAAATACGCCCAGATGTACAATAAGTAACACAAATAAAACTAAGAAAGGCTCAATTAGTCTTTTCAAAGAGATATTTCAGTTTTTTTGAATTCGATATGAATATCTCAGTTTCTACTGAAGTTCGACTTAATGAAACTAACAGTTGCAAAACAAATATAAGTGATGATAGGTGCAATTAGTTTTTTTTCAAATAGATATTTTTGATTTTATTTAGTGAAAATACACTTTATCAAATGCCAAATTTGGTCTGTTTCGTTTGCCTATTAAATTGACCATATTAACATTGACTGTGCGTAGGAATATATTTTTTTAAATAATTTAACGGATACAATGAAATGGGACATATATAATCCGTGTTTGTATTTTATTTTACAGGTATCACAGTAGTGCAGCATTGAAATATAAGCTTATACCACATCGCTGTAAAATAGTCACAATATATGGACTATATTTGTACATTATTTAAATACGTAGACTTTCACTAGATTCAGTATCGGAGATAAAATAGATAGGATTTCACACGTTTCAATTATTGATAAAAATATTATCACTTGATTCTTAATGGCCCATTAACATAAAAGAGGCCATTAGGACCAATAACAAAGTTTAAAAATATGTTATGACACTATGGTTAGTTATATTTTTATTTACAGACCAACAGTTTTTGAGGTTGGTACATGTAAGAGTTGTAGAGTTATCTACAGTTTCGAAATGGGTAATGTATGAGTAACCAACCTGACAACAACCTCGTCTCGAAGGTTTCTCTTATATAGCTGGGATACAATTCACCATTTTTAGGTTTTACAGAGTGCACTTTGTGGTCAACGCATTTACATCATTTTTTTACTACTTTGACCTTACACAAAGTTGTTACTGTAAACAGGTTTTGATTGAAAAATAATGATGAACTCGGGCTTTGTTTGATTAAATTGTGTTACGAATGTAGTTGTTCTTGAGACAAATTCAACATAAACTCAGTTTATAAAAACTTTTTCAAGACCAACTCAATTCATCACTCCATGGGNCCACACACCCCACCCCCACAGACACCCACATCCACTAATGAATTACGCTGCATCACATGGCTGTTTCGTCCTTCTAACAATAACTAAGAAGTCCAAATAGTCGAAAACAGTTTTGAAACAGACGGGCCGGTGTGTAAAACCCCCTAATAATTGATTCAAAAGTTTAGAGGAGTAATGGTTAAGTTCAAATTAAATAATCAATAAAGTGTGTATATTATGAACCTTGCTACTGTGACCATCAAGGTTACAGCAAACCTTGTAGACTCAATGTAGATTCAATTCTGGACTAAATCTGTTACATTGTGAGACTAATAAAGACGTCTCCTTATCACTCAGTCAAATTATCACCACATTCGCGAATGAGGGAAGCCTTTATTTTTAACCACACTTAAAGTAGTAGCTATGCAATATATAAGAGTTTTAAACATGTTCCGAGTACTTAATGCCCATCGACAGACTAAATGGTAAAACTGCAATGAATACAAACGTTGCTGTTCTTCTGTGCATCACAGTTATTTTGAATCACAGTGCATTTATCAACCTAAATAAATATAAAAAATGCAATAAATCATATTAAAATCACTAAATCAAAAAGATCCTGTTGATATGATTCCTCATATATTATTTTTGCTGTCGCAGGAGCTTTTTTTTATAAAATGATGTTATTTTTTTTCAATCTGAAAATCTAAACCAAGACAAATACCAACAAAACATTTACAAAAGTTACAGAACACTATTGTGTCAACAATGTACATGGTGCGGTATTTATGTGATTAGTGTAACGTTATATGGCCTCGCATACATGTCTCTTTTGTGTTATGTAAGCTGTATTTACTATAAGCTTCATGAATAATCAATATTAGTACGTTTACTAAATTACAGACCTCTAACGGATGAATACTATTCAGCACAAAGTACAGTTGTTTTTCGTTTCCTTTGTCCTATCCTGGGCTTGAGCTGGTGGGACTAGTGAAACTGGTAATACGTCAGGAATTTCCTTTTCAATGAGAAAGTCAAACTTTCCGGTATGCTCCTCCGTTTCATCAGCATCGTTGAAAACCTTGACCTCCAATTCGGTCCTCCCAAAGTACATTTCAACACGGTAATGTACCTCCTCTGGCCAACCGTCAGCTGGGGGTTCCACTGCAATGTTCCCAATCCGTTCACAGGATATGTCGGTTGTATATTGGCATGATTTGTCAGTAGAGGCGTAAAAAGGGAAATTCACTCTGACATTTCTTCGATTTTCGTCCTTGTGCGTCGAGTAAAATGCTTCCACGCGTTTTTCTTCAACTTGCAATATATCTCCCTCTGTCGCTACTTTGGAGAATATATTCATGCAACTGTCCTCTCCATCTATGTCCTTCCGGTACTCCTCACGGTGAACTCCCTCTTCGAAAGTAGCATAACAGTCAATGCCATAAGTATGACGACACATTCCTGCCGACACAGTCAATGGTTCGAATCCATACAAGACTGCACCTTCCAAAACAGCTAATTCTGCTTTAGTGGGAACCAATACCTTTTTTAGTCGAAATTCACTCCTAATCAGGTTCGACACGTGTTCGGACTGGACGTAACCTCCAACCAACAAAATCAGTTCTATATCTGGTATTTTCTCTATTATGCGTGTCATATGACTGATTGTGTGTTTCGCCGAGTCGAAGAATGATATGACGTCTTCGTTCGGTATAACCATTTTGAATGACTCCTTCAAGTCAATATTCAGATTCCCCTCAGTGATGATAACTGGCGGAATATCGAGTCGCATGTCGCGTTTAATATCGCGGAACGAAAACCTTTTTGTTGCTTCAAAATTTCGCTCAAGTTTCAACCAGTGAGATGTGCGTTCTTCTTTTATTCTGTCACTTATTACTTCTCCTCCAATCTTCTTGCCAAAGAAGTTGATAAAACCTTGGTTGACATTGTCACCTCCCCAGGCCCCTCCGGAGGCAGGTAAGATCTCTGTCAGGTTCTTCTCGTCACCAGAAACCTCGTGCACAGCTATATCTACGGTGCCACCTACATATAACAAACAATGAAGTTAAACAAAACTAGATAAAAAAAATATATAAACAAAATTGCACAACAACGTCAAACACATCACAATCATTTTTTATGGATGGTTAGGGGTCGCCTGATCCAAGATACAACTTATATAAACCACCGGAAAGTGAAATAGATGGGACAGGAAGACACGGCCCATCGACAATGCGAGTCATTTAAGGCCAAACAACACGTTAAAATAGACAATTATAAAAATAAATACATCAAACTAGAAATAAAAGTGTTTAAAAGGTATAAAAATTCATCAACAGGAAACGAAACGGTAGGGAAATTATGAATATGTAAGAGATTTTTAAAAAAGAAAAACTACATAACGGGTTGCCATGGAGACAGGAGATCCATATTGGCAATGTATTAGAAGACATTACAGAAAATCTATCACCACAGAAGGGGGTAATTTCGGATTATAAATGGCCGATTTAACATGTCAAAGAAAATGAAATCATATCAACGAATAAGTTAAAGAAGCGTCAGTTTAAAAAGTAAAATTGGCTATGGCTAGTTATATCCTTTGAAGAAGAATAAAGGTTTTCTGTTAGTCTAGTTTTGTAAGGAAAGTAACTGTTTTCAAAAAGAGATTTAAAACGTTAATCTCCTAACCCATGTTAATTTATCGAGTCAATACATGGATACATATTGCGTTAGGAAGACCAGCCTTATTGGCATGCATGCGATCAAGCATTTACAGTCAAACACTTTATGATTGAATGCGCTGATTTAAAACAAATACGTGACAGATTTTATGATGTACCGTCTATGAAAATAAAATCGATACAGTTTCTGTGCAATTAGTATATGATCATTTACACTCGATTGATCTTAAAATAGGATATATTGTGAAGCCAATGTGTTCGATATTGATGTATTTCTTTAATCCTTTTCATATTTTAAGCTATTAAGTGTTGGTTTGATGTGTGTATTTTCGTGAATGTCTCTTTTTACAGTATTGTTAGCGCTAAGTGACTCACATTGTAGATGGGCTATTAAACAATACAAACAAAAAATAAAACAAAAAACGAGTCGATAAACGACTTTACATGTAACCTTTTAAGAACCACTTTCTTTATAATATTTAACAATGACATCTCTTTTAGGTTTATCTTCTTAACTATTCCAGACAATTGAAAAGCTCGGTATTTATTTTTTGAAGAAACCCATCATCTGCATTTGGTAAAGATAAAAAAAAGATTGAACTAAAAATTAATAATGTAATCCTACCAAAATGAGTCAATAGTCTCCTTTTTCATGTCTTAATCAAAGTTTTTAGTTTTAAAAGTTTCGAATCGAAATTCAAGTTCGTTACCTAATGTAAATATAAAACGCAATACCCTAAAGTGTAAATTCCCTATCCCAATGACAATTTGCCCATTAGCAAAACCAGAATTGATTGATCTCGCTATAAAGTTATTCAGCTGTTTCCAAAAAGAAAGTTAGAATTAAATCGTAAAGCAGCAGAACCAGGGCTTTTCTCATTTTTCATATTCTTTACAGTTTGTGTTGCTTCTTTAAGAGTAATGATGTCCTCTAAACTATCTATATAATTTAGTCTAGGAACATCACAATTTTGTGAAATGTTGTTTAAAACTAGAACTGTCGCCTACGGGCTTACTAGTACCCCCGCATACCGGCTGCTTGTTGCCCCTGTAGGGGCTAACTAAACAAGGGGAAATATATAACCTCATAACCTTAGATGTCGTATCGACAGACCGATGGAAAAGACAAACACCACTACTGTGACCTTTGACTCAATGACCTCGGAATTTCGTCACAATGAAGCTTGCATAAAAGATGCATTTACTCGAAGGTATGTGTATACATAATACATACCATTTCTGCCATAATTAGCTATTTCAGTAACATAATGCATCTTTGACCTTGGACTTCACGACCATGGACGTTTTTCATAATGTAGCCTGCATAATTGGCTACGACACTCGTATGTATATGTGTATACAGAATACCTACTGTTTCCGAGATATTTAGTCATTTCAGTAACGTAATTCATTCATTCGTGACCTTTGACCTTTCAAAACGCGGTAAGTTGAAACCTGACAAAAAAAAATCGTTATACGTGTAAAGCATTATTGCTTCTTGTATAACTATACCATATTTGGAAGGAATTGAATAAAAAATAAAAAGTTTTTGCATTTTCTAAACAATGTCATGGTCTAAAGAAGGTTTATGAACCAAGGGCCATAACATCGTAAAAAGGGGAGATAATCTAATTAAAGTACCTTAAGCATATATCCAAGCTGCAGGGATTGGTATTAGCAAATTTCTTTGAAATTCATCCAATAGTTTAGAAGTACACGGTACTACATTGCGTCCACAGACGGACAACCTGATTCAAGTATACCCCCTAACTTCGTTGCGGGGGGTATGATAACATCGTCTATTTCATTTTCAATGGTATATAGAGATCATAAAATGATGTAACTTCTTAAAGTTAATAATCTCGTTATGAATAGTTATTACATTTGTATATCCCCATTTTCTTTTTCCATTTTTGGAATCATTTTCAAGTATAATTTCCGTTTTCGTGATTAAAATAATAGATAAGTGTTTTTTCTGCCTCTTAATCCCATTTAATTTAAGATCCGATGCTTTTTCTTAATTTATGTAATCCAATATTTTCTATTTTGTTATCTTTTATTTGATCTAAATCACCATTTTGACTCGATTCTAAATGTTTTCTAATATATTTTCTATTGTTTTCTAAAGGTTTTGCTGTATTTGGAATATGGAATAGTTTTCTCTCTATTTTCTATTAATAATGTTCGAAACAACATCTGTAAGGAATTTGATCTCCGAGTCCAGAATATTGGATATTTTGTACGGAATATAAAATGAAAGAGCATACTAGGTTTTAACGTTTAAAATAGTTTTGTTTATAATTTCAAGACAATTTAAATCATGTGATAAAGAATGATTAAATTGTCACAGTCCTTTCCCTTATTAAACTCATTCAATTTTTAATATACTAAAGGGTATCGAATGGTCAGGTCTGCACCCTGGCTCATTATTTGTATTTGATAAACTACAAATAGGTTTGCCTAATTGGATAACCTTCTCCGTGTATATCGTTAACATCAACCATTCCTAACTTCTTATAATGTGTAAGAAATTTTCTCTAGCTTTTTGGTTATTGATACGTTTATAGCTTATATCGTAATCAAAATCTTATAAAATTTGTTATGAATTTTAAATCAGTAAAATTTAAAATCAAGAGGTGGTAGCAATAAAGCCGCTTTTGCAGCACAACGGATCGGCATTTTTCATAGATTAACCAGGTGGGATTGAAGAAATAGTACAAAACATGCAATGGAAAAGTTTCTTGCCTCCCATGTCCACGACCATGTACCGACCACCATGGAAATCATTTCGGATGTCTTTCGCCTCTTCACCAGGAAGATACCGACAGTATAAGGCTGCAGCCTCGGGTTCCAAGGCCAACATCAGTTTGTCTTTGTCGATCCCAGCCTATAATAAAAGTTACACTGTTATGCTGCTACATGTACATATGGACGACAGCAAATAGTCCAAACTAACTGTTTATTTTTGATAATCCTTTAGTTATCTTTAAAGTATCATCAAATTGCATTTTTTATTTAACCAGCAATATGCACAACATCCAGTTATGATGCAGATCAATTCTCAAACCAGATTTTTAACTCCTAAACGAAAGTATCAAATATAATTCCACGAAACTACACGGTTTCCAGACCGGGCATATGGGATAGTGTTTTAAACTATCGTTGAAGTTAAATTAAGAAGCCTAATTCCGATCTAATGAGCTACCTCAATGAAATACTACATGTATGCTGAAGGCACCCAAAATAGCATTCCGCCCGGTCACATAATACTGACAACGGGTGAACCAGTTGTTGCAATTACCCTAAATGCTGAAAGCAAAGACGGAAACCACCATTTCCAAGGTCTCCGGTATGTCTCGGCATAGGGACAAAATCCATTGACCTCCTGCCCTGAGTGGGTTTGTTTGAAAAAATACACTAGCATTATTGTATGTATTATGAAATCAATCGTTACGTGCCATGCTACCGTCATCACATGTATTACACACAATCCACAATATTTCTATACAAATATGTATCCTACACATGTATTAACGCTGAGAAATAACTGGTAGAGCAGAGTAATTTACCTATTCTTTTTGTAAAATTGGAAACAACGGCAAGTTATCATATACTTGCTTGAAATATCGACCAAATTGCATATGTGATACTGTATCATTCCAATTGTCGATATCGTCCGTGTAATAACCTATCGATATCAGCCCGCATCCGGATCTTCAGCACAGTCCAGTCCGGTGACCGCTTATTTTAGGGGTTTGTTGTTGTTGTCGACTGCACATCTCGTCTACAATGGAGTCTCATGGAGAGGCAGTATTCGAGTCGTAAGCTCAACGAATACTTGAATTAGATGAAAATGACCAAAGGTTGGAAGAGGCAATGTTTGTTAACATCCAAAGGGAGGACACCGGTAGTTTTGTCGACAGCATGAAAAACGGAAACACGAAGAGGAAAACTCAGAAAGACATAAAGCTCTTCAGGACATGGTTGGAAAGTGTTCATGAATATAGGTATGTTGAGGAAGTATCTTGTACAGATCTCGATAGTTACCTCGCAAGGTTCTTTCTGTCTGTAAGAAAATCTGACAAATCTGAGTATGAACCAGGAATTTTAAAATCTTTCCAAACCAGTGTCAGTCGCCAACTCGTTGAAAAAGGATACGGTGACCACATATTTTAAATCTTTATCACTCAGGTTCTCCAAAAGCCTTACTCAACAAAATATGGCCGACTAATTGCCTTCATTTCGGTCTACGGAGTAAACAGGAACATATAAATATGATTTGGGAAGAAAAATTTTCAAGCGGCGACGAATATCTCCAACATGCAGAAAGAGAAACCAAGACAGGTCACACTTGCCAATTCCAGGCAAAAAAGTTTGCAATACCAGGTATCAAAAATAAATATCAGTGGAGCTAAAAATATAGGAAGTTTGTGATTTCCCGCGACCAGGTTTGTTTCCCAAAAATAAACCTGGTGAAGGGAAACCTGAAACTTCCTATGATCCAAAATAACTATTTAACTGCCCCGCCTCCTTAAAAACTGATTGGTCAAAACTTAGTCAAGCTTTGCCCTCTTCTGAACTAATACGGTGGGTCTTAGTTCTGACAACTTACACACCTATCCTTTTGTACTTATTCCCTAATGAGGGATTTTGGAAAATAGTAATTTCAATTATTTTACTTTCATATAGTATTTAATTATAAAATAATTGAAGAACTATAAGTATAATAATTAGAAAATAATTGTTGTAATTGTTAAGTATTTGGTAGATACCGGAACAGGTTGTTTAGGTCATCTGAGCTTAATCTCAAGTGACCTATTGCTATCCGTCGTCGTGCGTCGTCTGTCGTTCGTTAACATTTAACATTTTCAACTTAAGCTAAAATACTGTCATTTTCAACTGAAGCTAAAATACTGTCTAAGGGATTTTAATCATATTTCCTTGGAATGTTACTGACATATACCTAACCAAGTGTTGTTAATTTTGGGGTCGATCAGAAATTCAATATGGCCGCCACTGCCGCCATTTCGAATAAAAGTAATTTCAAAATTAAAGTTCTAATGGGCCAATGGGGAATGAACGACTCGAGGTCCTAACAAAGTGTTGTTATTTTTCGGGTCCATCAAAAATCCAGTATGGCCGCCAATGCCACCATTTAAATTAAGTTATTTACTAGGTCAATGTCACCATTACTATTTATAGAAAATTATCAAAAAGTGAGATACATATTCTGTGGCAAAGGGCATTCATGTGTTACACACTTCTCTAGTTTTACTCAAACTTGGAAGTGATAGTTGACTGATGGACCTTGCACTGGTGAAATACTTTTTTGTATGAAACATAATGTACTATTCTCCTTTGACATCATTGTTTCAACAACAACAACAACAACAACATACTACTGTAGGACTCAAGTGACCGTTAAGGCCCATGGGCCTCTTGTTTAAAAAAAAAAAAACTTTCCGTTTTCTCATGATTAATTTCTGAAATAAAAACAATTTGTTCCAGGGGACGATCGCTTTCCTGTCCAGACCTACAATGATTACAGCCGAGTGCGACCAAACACCAACCCAGAATAAAAGTTCTATCTGTCAATCCATCATCATCCGCAGAATAATGTGGAATAATGTGGTTCAACCGGCATCCCATCGGGAAAAATAAACTTCGTGACATAATGAAATCTATGTGTGAAAAAGTCGCTATACAAGGCAGGACAGTAAACCATTCAGCCCGGAAGACAACAATAACCAAGCTTCTTTACAGCGGTATAACCCCAATAACAATAATGCAACTGACAGGACACACAAATGATAATTCAATAAATCACTATGCTACATTGAAATAGCGCGGAACTGATGCCGACTTTATAGTGCTACCTCAATGAAATATACTGCCGAAGACACCCAGCAGGACATCCCACCCGGACACATTATACTGACAACGGGCGAACCAGTCGTCAAACTCCTTAATTGCTGAGCGTTAAGCAGGAGAAGAAACTACCATTTTTACAGATTCTGGTATGTCTCGGCCAGGGAACAAAACCCAAAGCCTTCCTCATAGGGGCGAACACTCAACTAAAGGCTAAAAAGTGAGGCATTGTCAGGGGACACATTAGGAAGAAGAAAGTTGTTAAGAAAGAAAAGATAAGATCGAATCTGTTGATGTGTCTGTAAATAAATGATAACTTACAATAGCAAGGGATGAGTATATGTATACTGTAGCATAAGATCCCTAGTTTCGGTTGCATCATAGATGATCCTTCAAAGCATTGTTAATTTGATAACATTCGTCTTTCGGGGAAAAAATCAGACTTTTTTAAGAATTTCAGTTTTATGCTACTACGAAAAACGAACCAAGTTTTCATTTAAATATTAATGGTTGTATTTATAGTGATATGGTTAAGGTTTACACCTTATCAGAGACGTATATATTACAGAGATTAGCAACTTACGCAGATCTCGCAAAAAACGCATGATCATATTGTTCAGGAAGTGAACTAAGATACGCCGCGAGACTTACTTAGTTTGCGGCTGCGCAATCACGCGGAAACGGGTCTATGAGTGTTTGTTTTGACAGCTAAAAGCACATGTCGAAGCAAACTTATATTGATCCTAGCTGGTGACGATAGTCTGGTCAATGTGTTCGTTAGTTCGTGTCAATATGTCACATATCCTAGACATATATGGCTAATATTAAGAAGCTGGTTAGAAATATTATGTAATATCTGAATACGTTTTTTAAATTGAGTAATGAACGAGAAAGGAGTGCCGGTGTCATGAAAGGAATTAACCCTCGCAAATCACAGCTGCCATTGTAACTTGTATATTTTAAAGTGTATTTTCAGAGCACAATTTTCAAACTTTGCAAGTATTGTAAAAACCTTATTTGAAAGAGCTGGCTAGAAATATTTTGTTTGAATAAATGAATAAAAATGTTTTTGAAATTAAAGAATGAACTAGAAAGGACTTCCGTATTCTCATGTGTCTTGAAAGAAAGAAAAACTCACACGTCAAAGCCGCCATTTTAAGTTGCTTATCCTTAAAAAAACTGTATTTTCAGAGTTAAATCATTGAAATTTGCAACTATTGTAACAACCTCATTTTAAAAACCTGGTTAAAAATATTATCAGATAATTAATATCGGGAGAAATTTTTGAAATTGACTAGTGAATTAAAAAGGAGTTTTATGTCTTATGAAAATTAACCCTCACAAATCAAAGCCGCCATTTTAACTTGTTTATTCTTAACATACCTGTATTTTCAGAGCTAAATTATCAAATTTTGCAAGTTTTTGAAATTGTCTAAAGAACAAAAACGGAGTTTGTGTTCTCCTGAAGCCAGAATCATTACCGATATGTAAATACAGCCACGATGTGCAATCTTTCGATGTTTGGTGTTTTCTAAGCTTAATCAATCAAGTTAACATTCAATGGAGCACTTCCAAACCGCATGGAAATCTCAGCTAGCTACGGGTTTAATATTACGTTGATTTTCGATGTTTTCTCATGGCATAACTATGTTTTGAACAGGACAGGATTATTGAATGCAGCGAACCGTTTATCCAATATGGCGCAGGTGGAGCGTAACTCTCGATATGACATCCGGTTACCGTGACGAATGGTAAGGTAAAGTGCAAGTTGCCAATCTCTGTAATATATACGTCACTGACCTTACTAAAAGAAGTTTGTAATCAAAAGGGGCACATTTTGGACCCCTCCCCCTTCTTTTGTTTGTTATTACCCCTTCTCCTTTTTGAATTTCCCGCACCTATCCTGCAAATAATTTGAAAATATATGGACTTTTACTTTATTTTATGTTTAGATCGCAAAGAACATTTTACAATTAGGTCTATTGTGAAATCACTTATTTTTGTTAGGTTTTAAATAACACTGATTTATGTCCCTGCAGATAGGGCGTAAAACTTGTATCTGCTTCCCCCATTGCATTATCGTAAGAGGCGACTAAATTTGGGATCTTATCTTTTCTCTTCTTTCTAAACAGCTTTCTTCTTCCTAATGTCTCCCTTGACAATGCCTCACTTTTGGCCTTTAGTTCGCCCCTGTGAGGAAGGCTTTGGGTTCTGTCCCCTGGCCGAGACGAGACATACAAGAGTCTGTAAAATGGTAGTTTCTACTCCTGCTTAACGCTCAGCAATTTAGGAGTGGGGCGAATGGTTCGCCCGTTGTCAGTATAATGTGACAGGTTGAGGTGTCCTGCTGAGTGTCTTCTGCAGTATGTTTTAGTGAGGGAGCACTATAAAGTCGGCATCAGTTCCGCGCTATCACAAACACGAACATATCGCAGCCTCCCAAAACACACGTATACACTACACGCATGCATCTTGCACACAGGGGAGGCCTTCCTTAAATAACCATAGCTGTTGATAGGACGTTAAACAATACTAAACCAAACCAAACCAACGCTGATTTATAGGGTTCTCCTTATCGACGAATGCACAGGTCCACGAAGGAGTTACAGCATGTACCCACCAAATGGTAATTGTTGGATCCCGCACAATTATCTGCTTTCACAGTATTCTGTTCCTAAAGAACCATAGTTGTCTATGTGTTGTTTGAAAAAAAGGACGTTCTTCACTAAATAAATAGTCCATTCTTAAAATGTGCATAGTTAAACAGAAAATCATTAAGATTGCCATTGTTATTTTTTTCACCAAACCATCTCCTCTTACCATCTAATCTTCGCTGTAATGTGAAAATAGCGAAATATATCATATTCCATCCAAGGAAAGAGGCTACGTTGCTTTCAATGTAAATCATTATATTTCATTGCTAAAATGTAGTAAACTAAAACTTTCGAAGAAGTTATCGATTTGACGGTAGGACCAGCATTCCTAACTAATGGGTTTGACAAATCCTATCAAAGTGTCAACTGCACATGCGATCAGACGCCCGTTATATTTCAGCATACTAATTTGGTTATGTAAACTAGGAACAGAAATATAAAAAATATTAAACATTTTAAACGTTATAGTAACCGTGGGTGCCTACTGTTGTGTGTCCCTAGTCAATACTTATATTGGGATTTATAGCGTTCTCCTTATCGACGAATGCACAGGTCCACGAAGGAATTACAGCGTGTACCCACCAAATGGTGCATGTTGGGTCCCACACAAAAATCTGCTTTCACAATATTATGTTCCTAAAGAACCATAGTTGTCTGTGTGTTGTCAGACAAAAACGAACGTTTTTCACTGAACAAATAGTCTCTTCTTATAATGTTCATAGTTAAACAGAAAACATTAAGATTGCCATTGTTATTTTTTCACCAAACCCTCTCAACTTACAAATGTACCATCTAATCTTAAATGTAGTGTGAAAATAGCGAAATATATCATTTTCCATCCAAGAAAAAAAGCTACTTTGCTTTAATGTAAATAGTTATATTTCAGTGCTAAAATGAAGTAAGCTAAAATATCTCGAAGTAGCTATCGTTTCACCGTTAGGACCAGTACAAACTAATTTGTTTGACAAATCCTATCAAAGTTTCTACTGCACATTAGTCCACAAGATATATCAAGAAGATATTTTCCCCGAAAAGAAGTGGCGACCTTTATAAATTAAGTAACACAAGGCCACATAATACTTGTACGTTACTTCCTTCTGAATACCACATGACCTTGGTTGTTGTTAAGACGTAAAGCCCAAATTAAAACCAACCATTGGTTTGTTTAAAGGACCAAGGGCGTTAAGGGTCATGTCTGGCCTCTTCAGGGATTTCAAATAAGTTGTGATATTCGTAATCTTAGATAATTTAAATACACAAAAATGAATTGCTCTTGTTGTAGGACAACACGGATCTTTGTTTCTCCAAGATTAATCAAGATTGGAGAGGGCTAAGCACGAGTTATTTTATTTCAATATAGTACAATATCCATGTATATTGCCCTTGGGATTTGGAAACGCGATTCCTCGATTACAACGATTAAGGGGTTTAAAACGAAATATCCTTTAAAAGATAGAAGTTATTTTCATCTATGTTATTATGAGTCTCTGAAATTGCTTTGGACCATTTTTTTAGCTTAAATTATATAAACAGATTAAGAAAAGATTTAATCGCAGAAAACGATAAGACGCATATTATGACTGAGTTTGAAGAAGTAAAACCTTTCGTTAAAGGGACCGCAGAACCAAATGATTTTCCATAGACGATAGTGTTAACGTTTACCACTGTCCTGGTTAAATGGGGTTATCCAAACTGGTTAACCTGCCCTCATTTTGAAGAATATCATCTCACACAACTGTAAATAAAATATTTAAAAATTCTGCCAATTTGAACTTTTTTATATGGGGGCCGCCATCTTGTATTGAATTCAGCACCAAAAATCAACCAAATTTTACAACAAATTACGCAATTAATAAACTCGCCCAGACAAAACAGACTTTATTTTTTTTATTTTTTCTTATGCATATTACATCTATATATATTGCTCAACCCACACATAAAACTTTTGAAACTTCTGCCACCTAAATATCCAACCAGCAGGCCCCGAGGCATTCACCTTCCTATTAAATCTTCTGCCCAAAAGGGAAAAACCCACAATGTATTTTTGATTTGGTTCCGTGGTCCCTAAACGTTTAAAAGGAGATAACTCGTGGCTTATGTCTGTAATACGCAATTCCGATATCAAGCGTGTGTATTAGAGCGCGTAGTGGAATAAGGAAGTGCCTCCATGCGTGTTGTGTATGCGTGGATGTGTGTTTATGTGCTGGAGAGAGGGTATGGCAGTGAACTTGAGTCCTTGTGATTAGCGAGGATCTGATGCAGACTTTATAGTGCTATCTCACTGAAATGTCATGCCGAAAGCATCCTGCACATCATTGCGCCAGGTCACATTATACTGACAACGTAGAACCAATTGTTGCCATAACCCTAAATGCTTAACGTTAAGCAGGATATACCAACTGGAGTTTGGCGGACGCTCAACAAGCCAAATGTGAGGTATTGCCAAGCAAGGCGCTAGGAAATGAAGGGAAGCTAGAAGTAGAGTGAAATTAAATGTCTCAAATATTGCAATGAGTGCAACAGATTTATTTTGGTCGCTTTTGTGTCCCAAAATAGAGGGCACAAAAGCAAACCCCCAATACTGCGGCGGGTTCCAGCAAATGGTCCAAGTGGATAATTCGTGTTTATCAAGACACATTAATAGATATACATTGTGTTATGATATTGCTATTAAAACAAAGTAACGCATCGTTAAATTAACGTCTTTATTGATACATTTCTAACATAACAATCGTAGCATATTTCCTTCAAATTTCATACGGCGCTGAAAATATGTCACTATAATTGGGGCACCATTCCCCTTTCAGAGACATGTAATACATTGTATATAAAAACAGAAGTTACATGTATCATGATGGGTGTAGTATGCTTCGATCAAATAAGTAACATGTATTAAAGTTCTCCATTCAATCAACTCATAAAGTTGGTACCTTAAGGATCCCTGTCCCACTGCACTCTATTCTTTTTGTATGTACAGAATTCCCTTGATTTCGTTTTGGATATACCTGTAGCTCAGTCGGTTAGAGCGATATTATGAATTCTGAAGCCCAGGGTTCGAATCGCAGTCTTGTCATGCTAATATTGTACACTCAGAACACTATTGATGTTTATGATTTATTTCATATTCATTATTTTTCATTAAAGTCCTCCTGCATAGCATGCCATTCTTTTCCGATAGGATTTTCAAATGCTACAGTTATGCCGGGGAAACACGTTCCAATCCCAAGTTACATTTTTTGACAGTGGTTCGGAGATCCCTAAGTATTGTTGACAAAGACTGTTAAACCCATTGTCAGTATAATATGTACAAGGTATGTAATTTCATTGAGGAGGCGCTGTTAACGTGATTTCTGTCGTGAACGTTTTCAAATGACCCTGCCTCTAGTTTAGACATAACACAACACCAAACAAAAAATATCATACTAAAGCAAATGTAAACATGGTCTGTGTTATAAGCAAAATACGCCAAGATGAACAATAAGTAAAACAAATAAAACTAAGAAAGGCGCAATTAGTCTTTTCAAGGAGACATTTCAGTTTCTTATGAATTCGATATAAATATCTCAGTTTCTACTGAAGTTCGACTCAATGAAACAAACATTTGCAAAACAAATAAAAGTGATGATAGGTGCCATTAGTTTTTTTCAAATAGATATTTTTGATTTCTTTTAGTGAAAATACACTTTATCAAAAGCCAAATTTGGTCTGTTTCGTTTGCCTATTAAATTGACCACATTGACTGTGCGTAGGAATACATTTTTTACAATAATTTATCGAATACAATTAAATAGGACATATATAATCCGTGTTTGTATTTTATTCTACAGGTATCAAAGTAGTGCAGCATTGAAATATAAGCTTATACCACATCGCTGTAAAATAGTCATCAATATATGGACTATATTTGTACATTATTTAAATACATAGACTTTCACTAGATTCAGTATCGGAGATAAAATAGATAGGATTTCACAAGTTTCAATTATTGATAAAAATATTATCATTTGATTCTTAATGGCCCATTAACATAAAAGAGGCCATTAGGACCAATAACAAAGTTTACAAATATGTTATGACACTATGGTTAGCTATATTTTTATTTACAGACCAACAGTTTTTGAGGTTGGTACATGTAAGAGTTGTAGAGTTATCTACAGTTTCGAAATGAGTTTTGAGATCTGTTTTATCGTTATACAATTTTCTCTCGGTGGCTGAAAGTCTAATAGCAAGTGTTTTACTGTAACATATGTTACATACTTTGTGACATACTTTGAAATGAGGTTTGTCTTTTAGCTTTTGAATTAATTAAAATGGGTAATGTATGAATAACCAACCTGACAACAACCTCGTCTCGAAGGTTTCTCTTATATAGCTGGGATACAATTCACCATTTTTAGGTTTTACAGAGTGCACTTTGTGGTCAACGCATTTACATCATTTTTTTACTACTTTGACCTTACACAAAGTTGTTACTGTAAACAGGTTTTGATTGAAAAATAATGATGAACTCGGGCTTTGTTTGATTAAATTGTGTTACGAATGTAGTTGTTCTTGAGACAAATTCAACATAAACTCAGTTTATAAAAACTTTTTCAAGACCAACTCAATTCATCACTCCATGGGATCAATCAACCAAGGATGACCGTAATCCACACCAACACACGCACATCCACACACACACACCCTCCCATCCACACACCCCAACCCCCACATACACCCACATCCACTCCCACCAATCCACCCCCACACACATACACCCCCACACACACCCACATCCACCCATCAACACCCCCCTCCCCCCCCACACACACATACACCCCAACACACACACACACACTCAACAACACACACAACTCACCCCCACACACACACACATGTGATTGCACCTTTCAAAATCTGAAAGTAAATACAGTAAGCCGAAAATGAATTACGCTGCACCACATGGCCGTTTCGTCCTTCTAACAGTAACTTAGAAGTCCAAATAGTCGAAAATAGTTTTGAAACAGACGGGCCGGTGTGTAAAGCCCCCTAATAATTGATTCAAAAGTTTAGAGGAGTACTGGTTAAGTTCAAATTGAATAATCAGTAAAGTGTATATTATGAACCTTGCTACTGTGACCATCAATGGTCACAGTAAACCTTGTAGACTCAATGTAGATTCAATTCTGAACTAAATCTGTTACATTGTGAGACTAATAAAGACGTCTCCTTATCACTCAGTCAAATTATAATCACAATCGCGAATGAGGGAAGCCTTTATTTTTAACAGCACTTAAAGGAGTAGATAACTTCATGCAATATATAGGGGTTAGCATGTTCTGAGTTTTTAATGACAATCGATAGACTAAATGGTTAAAACTGCCAATGAGTAAAAACATTGTTGTTCTTCGGTACATTACAGTTATCATAAATTACAGTGCATTTATCAATCTTATACATAACAGAGTGCAATGTGTTGTCTACGCATTGATGTGATATGTTTTTTGATACTTTGATATTTCTTAATTTGTTATTGTTAACAAGTTTCAATCGAAATATAAGGATGGAATTATGTTTTGGTTGATTTAATTGTTTTACGAATGGAGTTGTTTTCGTAAAAACTGTTTCAATACCAACTCAATTCATCACTCCATCGCATCAACCAAGGATAAACGTATCACACACACACACACACACACACACACACAAACATGCGATTGCACCTTTCAAAATTTGAAAGTAGAACCAGTAAGCCGAAAATGAATTACACTGCATCACATGGCTGTTTCTCTACTTCTAACAGCATATATGAACCATGCCACTGTATGTGACCACCAAGGTTACAGCAAACCTTGCAGAGTAAATGTAGATTCAATTCTGAACTAAATCTGTTACATTGTGAGACTAATAAAGTCCCTATCACTCAGTCAAAACATTATCACTTTCGCGAATGAGGGAAGCCTTTATTTTTAACCAAACTTAAAGTAGAAGCTATGCAATATACAAGAGTTTTAAACATGTTCCGAGTACTTAATGACCATCGACAGGCTAAATGGTAAAACTGCCATGGAATACAAACGTTGTTGTTCTTCTGTACATTACAATTATTTTGAATCACAGTGCATTTATCAACCTAAATAAATATAAAAAAATGCAATAAATCATATTCAAATCACTAAATCGAAAAGATCCTGTTGATATGATTCCTCATGTATTATTTTGCTGTCGCAGGTGCTTTTTTTTTTATAAAATCACGTTATTTTTTTTTCAATCTGAAAATCTCAACCAAGACAAATACCAACAAAACATTTACACAAGTTACAGAACACTATTGTGTCAACAATGTACATGGTGCGGTATTTGTGTGATTAGTGTAACGTTATATGGCCTCGCATACATGTCTCTTTTGTGTTATGTAAGCTGTATTTACTATAAGCTTCATGAATAATCAATATTAGTACGTTTAGTAACTTACAGACCTCTACCGGATGAATACTATTCAGCACAAAGTACAGTTGCTCTTCGTTTCCTTTGTCCTACCCTGGGCTTGAGCTGATGGGACTAGTGAAACTGGTAATACTTCAGGAATTTCCTTTTCAATGAGAAAGTCAAACTTTCCGGTATACTCCTCCCGTTCATCAGCATCGTTGAAAACCTTGACCTCCAATTCGGTCCTCCCAAAGTACATTTCAACACGGTAATGTACCTCCTCTGGCCACCCGTCAGCTGGGGGTTCCACTGCAATGTTCCCAATCCGTTCACACGATATGTCGGTTGTATATTGGCACGTTTTGTCAGTAGAGGCGTAAAAAGGGATATTCACTCTAACTTTTCTTCGATTTTCGTCCTTGTGCGTCGAGTAAAATGCTTTCACGCGTTTTTCTACAACTTGCAATATATCTCCCTCTGTCGCTACTTTGGAGAATATATTTTCACAACTGTCCTTTCCATCTATGTCCTTCCGGTACTCCCTACGGTGAAATCCCTCTTTGAAAGATTCATTACATCTAATGCCGTAAGTATGACGACACATTCTTGCCGACACAGACCAGGGTTCGAATCCAAACAAGACAGCACCTTCCATAACAGCTACTTCTGCTTTCGTGGGTACCAATATTTTTTTTGATAGAAATTCACTCCTTATCAGGTTTGACACGTATTCGGACTGGGCGTGACCTCCAACCAACAAAATCAGTTCTATATCTGGTATTTTCTCCATTATGTGTTTCATATGGCTGATGGTGTGTTGTGTCGAGTCAAAGAATGATCTAAAGTCTTTGTTATGTATGTCCATTTTGAATGAGTTTGCCAAGTTGATATCAAGCTTCGCTTCAGTGATGATAACTGGCGGAATATCAAGTCGCATGTCTTGTTCAGTATCACTTTTCAATTTCCTCTTTGTTGCTTCAAAACTACGCTCAAGTTTCAACCAATGAGATGTACGCTTTTCCTTTATTTTGTTAATTTCTTCTTTTCCTCCAATATTCTTGCCAAAAAAGTTGATAAACATTTGGTTGACATTGTCACCACCCCAGGCTCCTCCAGAAGCCGGTAAGACCTCCGTCAGACACTTCCCGTCATTAGACACCTCGTGTACAGCTATGTCTACAGTTCCACCTGGTAGAATAACAAAACGAAAAAAAAAACAAATTGTACTACAACATCAAACCAAATTTAAATTGTTCTCTATTTTTAGCCACCTATCATCTGATGATGGGCTACTCAAATCGCCCTGCGTCTGTGGTCCGTCCGTCTGTCGTCAGTCCTTAAACAATTTTTGTAATCGCTATTTTGCAGGCAGTGCCAGAGGGATCTTCTTCACATTTTATACGTAGGTTTCCCTTGGTCCTTAGTTGTGCATACGTATATTTACTTTTGAGACTGATCAGATGAACAAAATGGCCGACAGGCAGCCATCTTGGATTTTGACGGGGAAGGTTTGTTATCGCTATTTCTCAGGAAGTACTAGAGGGATATTTGTCAAGTTATATATGTAGGTTCCCCTTGGTCCTGAGTTGTGCATATTTACTTTTGAGACTGATCGGATAAAGAAAATGGCCGATAAGCCACCATCTTGGATTGTATTACATTAAAGGTTTGTTATCGCTATTTCTCCAGAGGTGCTTTGAAGGATCTTTCCAAAGTTGGTTACAATGTATGTAGGTTTCCCTTGGTCTGTAGTAACATAAATGTAGGCATGTTTTATTTTGAGACTGATCAGATTTTTTACCGCTATTTCTTAGGAAGTACTTGAGCGATGTTTCTTAAATTTCCTTTTTTCGTTGGTTGTGCAGGTTGCCATTGGCAATTTTGAGACTGATCAGATAAACAAAATGGCCGACACGCAGCCATCTTGGATTTTGACAGTGAAGGGTTGTTATCGCTATTTCTCAATTAGCGCTGGAGAGATCTTTGTCAAATTCGACATGTAGGTTCCCCTTGGTCTGTAATTGTTCATGTTATCTTTTGAGACTGATAAAAAGAATGAAATGGCCAACAGGCAGCCATCTTGTATTTGACAGTGTAGGTTTGTTACCGCCATTTTTTGGGAAGCACTGAAGTTTTTTTATCTCAAATTTGATACGTAGATTATCCTTAGTCCCTTGTTGTGCATGTTTTCTTTTGAGACTGATCAGATAAACAAAATGGCCGACAGGCAGCCAACTTGGATTTTGACAGTAAAGGTTTGTTATCGCTATTTCTCAATAAGCACTAGAAAGATCTTTTCTCAAATTTGACATGTAGGTTCCCCTTGGTCAGTTTTTGCTAAGGTTTTCTTTTGAGACTGAAGAATATAATGGCCGACAGGCAGCCATCTTGCATTTTGACAGTGAAAGTTTGTAATCGCTATTTCTCAAGAAGGACTGGAGAGATCTTTCTCAAATTTGACATGGCCGAAGGAAGAACTAAACATATCTTTCTCATATTGCATTGATCAGTTCTATTTCTTTCACATTACGTACGGTACTAGTAAATATGTGAAATGACAAACTCACTTTGAAGGTTGTCTTTTATACACGACAGTATTAAGTTCAGATCAAAAGTTACCTTAAGGTGCATTTACTGTATTTATGACTCCCTCAAACAGACAAGAGAAAAAAAGAGAAAAGATCAAACTGACAAAGAATTAATGAATACGGTACAGTGGTGGACACCAATATCCCTCTGGAATGAGACGCGAGAGTAGATAAGGAAAATTAATTTGAATGAAAGGAAAATGGAAAAAAAATCAAGGTTTTGCAATGGTATGGGGCAACAGACCCTATTTTCCGTTTTGTTTTATTGCCGATCGAAATTGTAGTTTGGTTTGATATAATTTTGTTTAACGTCCTATTAACAGCTAAGGTCATTTGAGGAAGTGCCTCCATGTGTGTGGTGTATGCGTGCTAGCGTGTGCGGATGTAGGAGACAGGGTATGTTGGTGTGTCATTAAGGACCAAACAACGCTAAACAAACAGACGTTCACAAAATAAAATACATCGAATACAATCTAAAAGGTTAAAATATTTACGAGATGAAAAAGCCTTTGTCGCGAAAGTATATCTTCCTTTATTTGTCTCCTTTTTGCACATGAGCCCACACCTCGATACGGAGAGTTTTAATAACTAATGTGCATGTTCAATATATCTAAATTACATTTATGAATTCTGATAATTACTTGGGGTATTTGAATGTCTTATCGGGGATTTGGAATTTAGAATGACTATGTCATCTTTCAGGGGTCTCGCTGAATCTTTAGAAGAAGCTACTTGAGCAGCCCTATCTACTCTCAATTATAAATCTGGCATGACCCTTCCGGTAACCATATTAATACAGTGTATAAGGTGACAACATTTGTTTTCTCGTCAGTGTCCTTTTAGTATAATACACTAAAGAAAAACAACGCNATTATAATTATTTCTCATGTTGGCTGAAAATGGTTCGTGACAAGATATGCACCGATGTAGAATTTTGCGGTTTATTAGATAAGAATAAACAATACAAAAGGAAAAATCACTTGCCTCCCATGTCCACGACCATGTATCGACCACCATGGAAATAACTGCGGATGTCGTTTGCCTCTTTACCGGGAAGATACCGACAGTATAAGGCTGCAGCCTCGGGTTCCAAAGCTAACATCAGGTTGTCTTTGTCGATCCCAGCCTGTAATAAAAGTTACACCATTATGCTGCTACATATGGATGGCAAAAACTTAGTCCAAACTCACTGTTTACACCTTGAATAAACATTAAAGTATCATCAAATTGCATTTTTTTTTTGGCAAAGCAGGCGGAGGTTTGTTGTTTTCCGAAATTAACATTGTTGTAAGAGGGCAAAATCGTAATTAATGTTTAATCAGTGGTCCTTTATCTCGTCTCATTGATTTTTTTCTCCTTTTTCATCGTGTTTTTAGTCGCCTATACTAATACCACGTGTTTTGGCGTCTTTTTTGTTTTTGTCTTTGTTTATTTTAAGTTTAATGTATTCTGTGCGGTGTCTTTGTTAACTTGTGTTTTTATTCATAAAACTACATTTGCCTGTGATCACCCCTTTTCTTCTGGTTCCATGATACAATGTTCATGAATATTACCTTTAAAGGGCCTGATTGGGCCTTAAGGGCATATCTTTCAAATCCTTTGAATCGCGTCTTATTTTCAGTTTGGAGCCTACGAAAACTGATAAAAAGACTTTGTCTTAGTCTTCAGACGTTTCGAATGTCATTTACGGAGATGCCTCTATTTGTGTAATGTGCATGTGCGTTCAACTGTATGTGTGCGGGAGGCAGAGTGTATTGGTGGATATGTCCCCTTCCGATCTTATGCCAACCCTACGAGTAACCTCACAGAAAATCTATACCAAAGGCATCCAGGATAGAATAACGCCCGGTCACATACTGGCAACGGATGAACATGTTGTTGTCATAACCTTAAATGCTGAACGTTGAGCAGGGAATAGCTACTACATTTTTTATGAATCGGTATGTCCTTGCATAGGGACTCAATTGCTTTTCCTCGCATGGGCGTGTTTGTTTGAAAAAAACTACTGTAGTGTGATTATTTATTATGTAATATTTACATTTCCACTGCACAGAGCCTAGATGTTTCTACCGGGCCCAATGTATGTTATTTCCGTATAACATACATTGGGCTATTGTTATGACGTCATGATTGTAACGTTGGGGATTGCACTGCTCCACTGTCAACTGGTGGTTGTTCTCTGTATGGATTTACCCTGACGTTGAAATGTGTTCTGACTAAAATTATGTCTTTATTTCTGCGTGAACTGTAAGTCGATTAACATAAAATGTAAATGTAAGTATTGGTTGTCATCTTTTTGACATACATTGGTGTGTAACATACACCAATGCATGTCAAAAATATGACAACCAATCCTTAATTATGAATTCAATCGATACGAAAATATAGTCCATTTGAAACAATGTTATGAAACCTTCCATACTATGTTCCTATCTGAGGTCGTTATACTATTGCTTCCGTCTGAATATTTATTAAACAGGAATTAATAATATATAAACAAATATCGTTATCCATTCTTTTGTAAAATGTTCGATACATATTGCATAATACAGTAAATTAACCTACCTTGATGGCCGCTTGCCTCATGAACTGTTTCGCGGGTTCATTCCAGATTGCAGGAACTGTGATGACCCATATGATGTCAGAAACAAGATTGTCTTGACCTGCGTTCACAAATTCCTTTTTTGCAGCTTTGGCAAGATATTTAATACTCTCTGAAAAGACATCTATAGCAGGAAGACACTTTCCTAACTGGTCGGCTATAGCAAAGTCTCGCGACAGTTTCTACAATAAACAAATTTTGATTTGTGTAGGTATTTACGAGCATGATTCTGAAAACTAATTTTGATTTCATTGGAAAACTTATCTCTGGCAATAAACCTGTTAGTTATTGCAAGTTGCTCAAGCGAATCGGTGATTCGAATAACTAAACAGCTGCCATCAGCGGATTCGTTATTCAATATTCTGAATTACCAATTCTTATCACCATGATAAACACATTTCTAACTATCAAAACGTTAATTATTGCATCTTTAACGAAGCGCGTCTAAATAGGGAGAAATGTTAAGATCCCAAATATTGCAATTGGTGAAGCAAATATGTTTTGGTCGCTTTTGTTCCCCTAAGAAGAGGAAACAAAAGCAAATTCTGAATTATGCATGGTGTTCCCACATAAGTCGTATCACACAATGCATGCACGCCCCTGCAGTGTACGTATTAAATGTGCCGCAACGTTTCAAGACCGACTGGTCCCTTTGTCAAGCTATGACTGTCACTCAGTCATAGCTTGACAAAGGGACCATTCGGTCTTCAAACGTTGCATCACGTTTAATACGTACATTGTTTGTGTAGAAAGAAAAAACTTGGATATCACATATTTTTCAAACTGAAACATTTTATTGAAGACATTCAAACCTTTTTTCACATTTGAAAATGAATAATAATATACGCATGTTTATCATTGAAAACCTACCATTTTGTCGAAGAGCTGCATTTTAAATCTACTGAAATAATACCACTTATGATGTACTTTGTTTTCTGCAAGTCTCGCATACTTGTCCTCCGCTTCATATCCAAAACAATCGAATTCCTTTTCCGAATTGAAAAGAGCCACGGTCGGGGCTTTAAAGGAGTAGAGTCCTGCAAATCCTGATGCCCAATTGTTATGGTTGATAATCCCGGCACAATTACTTTTACTTTTCTGGAATTCGTTCCTAGATGAATATGCATATCCGGTGTATGTTGTACCAAAATCTATCGCCACCACAGCTAACGGCAAATGTCTATTGGAATCTTCGTCTACAGACATGTTGTAAAAGATGTGAACAAATCCCTGTAAAAAGAAAATGTGTTAATTCACGTACAACGTTTATTGTTAGTCAACAATATGCTTTGAAACAACCTGAATTTTGAATTCGTGACATGCGTAAGTGTTGAAAAAGTCCCTATAAAATCAAAACTGTACAATCAGTGTATTAATGGTTGATATTTATATATTAATACATTGATAAACTGTCTGATATTTGTAATCATTTTACTGTTTTTTTTTACATAATCATTTCCTAATATAAGTAAATTAGTAAAAGTGCAGCAGGGTGGAGCAATAAACACATGTACGCTCATCTGTGGAATACTGATTTTTGAAACATTATTATATCGAAATGAATAAAATATGAAATGTAACGAGAAGACGACGATATGTATACTGTGTTACTCGGTAAAGTTGAACAAAACAAAGAGAAAGGAAAAATAATGAAATTTCATTAAAGTTTGAATACAATAACATTCATTTTTATATACACGTGACCAGTCATCAAAAACTCGTTTAGACTGGTTTTCCGGTGTATATCGATTTCCTCATGTAGACGATAAATAAATTTCCCGCAACCTGTCAGAGCGCATGCTTAGTTAGACTGGAAAGCGGTCCGTCAAACGACAACAGAAAATTGCTGCTGACGAACGCTTCGCCTTCGTTACATCTTTTTGTTGAAGCATATGATAAAACAGTTATGGACTTTTGTGCTGGTAAATATGCTTCGCCTCGGCTAATATGGGAATTCGCTCCAAAGTGATCACAAAAAAGCTGTTGCACCCTTTAAGCATTTACAAGTTTCATATTATCACTCTTAATCCTACCAGGCTTTTTGTTTTCTAAGTTTTTATATTCGAATGCGGCTGAAAATGTCACTCGACCCTAGACACATAGTGACACAGGCTGTAATGCTTTACAACACTACACAGCTATTTTGCATGCGGCGCACTAGTTCGTTATTGATACAGCTGGGTATTCCTCTTAATCTGTTTTTGTTATTTTCCTTCCTGAGGATAAAAAGCAACTGTCTGAACTTAAGCAACCGTTTTCGTAAATATGTCATAACTTCATTATGCATCTGACAGTTTATACTATCAGTAAAATTGTACCTGAGTGATTATCTAATATTAACGTTCCACAACCGACCGATTGTATATATACACATGTTTGCATTATGTCCTATTTACTGTACACCTATAGATTAAGATCTAGGCCGTGCACAGTGTATTATATAGCGTGGCCATGGTTCATTATAGTCGCTGCTTTTAAAATGATTTTCTACACAATATACCACAATGCTTGTGTTTATCGGCTCTGCTCTCTTCCTGGGGACAAATATAGGGGTTACACAACGATTGGTCGATGAATATGGTATGGTTGATATTTATATATTAATACATTGATAAACTGTCTGATATTTGTAATCATTTTACTGGTTTTTTTTTACATAATCATTTCCTAATATTAGTAAATTAGTAAAAGTGCCGCAGGGTGGAGCAATAAACACATGTACGCTCATCTGTGGAATACTGATTTTTGAAACATTATTATATCGAAATGTATAAAATATGAAATATAACGAGAAAACGACGATATGTATACTGTGTTACTCGGTAAAGTTGAGGAATATTTCTGAAATGGGTAGAAAGGAGAACACATACTGTACTTGACCAGCTCAAGCTGACAGAATATGTATATTTCATACATCCTTTATGACTCTTATATATTTATTTAAAATGCCTCCCTTTGTACATATTTCAAACCATGAAAATAGATATTGAAATTACCCCACTTTGTCAATAATCGATTTACATAACACCAATAAACCAAAGATATTTCTATTGTTTATATTATTTACTGGTAATATCCGCTATTAGATAAAGTGTGACATGAACCAAATCTCACTTCGTACATTGAATAATTTACAAGCATATCGAGCAAGTTGTTATCTTGCGGAGACTAAAGTGTGGAATTAGCATTGGACATTGAATTCTGAATATATTTTTTTTATTAAACTGACAACGAGTAAACCATCCCAAACTGATTTTTTTTTTTAAATAGTGTTTGTTTTCAATTTCTGATTTCATGGTTTGAAATATATCAATAAGGAAGCAACTTCAAGTCGAAACAATGACGACGTGTACCTAGGGAGATATCACCGGAAACAGGTTTTGGTTCTAAAGGGTTAAACGTCCTACATGTATCAACACTTATATTTTACATCAATACTTATACTTATAAAATAGTGCAAAGAAGTGAGGTCACTATATATTAGCTGGCAGCAGATCGTCGCTATCACAAGGAGAAAAATACACAAACATAACGCATTCAACAGACATGCACGCATACACGAATACACAACGCACACATACAAACACATATATCATCTAAGTTTCTACCACAATACGCTGTGTTATTCCACTCTCAGATCATTGTATAAACATGCAGACAGTTAGATAAATATGAATTATACGCCACACGTGGTATATGACCTTCCAGAGTTTTGATTGGTCGAGAAGATGAACTTTGACCGGGACGACTTTTTCCATGCGCTTTTTGCCACTTGCCGTTTTGTTTACGTCGTCTGCTGTCAACATCCGGCAAATGTTGGTGACTTTGTGAGGTTAAGCGAAGGGGAAAAGGGTATAATACTTCAAGATTTGATCGCTAGTTTCAGGCAAAATTGCTACAGGTGCTCGATATCGTTTCGACGTCACACCGTCGCGTGTCCAGGTCGTGAAACCAAAACAAGATCTGTCACAGTGTCGGAAAATATTTCGTTCTCCCAACGTCCCGTTATCGCTATTTGGAGAGTCTGACTATGGCTGAACTTTCACTATAAACGTCAACCGTAGAACCGTCACGAGGAAACGTCCCAGGCCTATGATAAATTTATATAAATTAATGCAAAACTGAAAGCTCTCGATACTGCATACGTTCATCTACTATATTTTTTTCATGAAGTTGTTGCCAAAACATTTATTTTGACAATTATCAAATTTGTAAAAAAAAATAAAAAAATATATCAATGAGTGACTTTTTTACATATGAGTCATTTCACTACGCCAGCCTTGTTAACAAGCACATGTGTGTATTTTATAAAAATCAGGTCACACTCCAGCTGTTTCTGACTGAGATTGTGGTAGAAACAGATCACACGACTCGTGGTTGTTGAGAATGGTATTTATTTCACTCTCGATTGTTAATTTTCAAAAGTTACAGAAAGATACTCGCTAAAGCTAGTGTCTTTTGTAACTTTTGAAAATTAACTAACTCGAGTGAAATGAATACCATATTCACCGACCAATCGTTGTGTAACCCCTATATCTGTCCCCAGGAAGAGAGCAGAGCCGATAAACACAAGCATTGTGGTATATTGTGTAGAAAATCATTTTAAAAGCAGCGACTATAATGAACTATGGCCACGCTATATAATACACTGTGCACGGCCTAGATCTTAATCTATAGGTGTACAGTAAATAGGACATAATGCATACATGTGTATATATACAATCGGTCGGTTGTGGAACGATAATATTAGATAATTACTCAGGTACAATTTTACTGATAGTATAAACTGTCAGATGCATAATGAAGTTATGATATATTTACGAAAACGGTTGCTTAAGTTCAGACAGTTGCTTTTTATCCTCAGTAAGGAAAATAACAAAAACAGATTAAGAGGAATATCCAGCTATATCAATAACGAACTAGTGCGCCGCATGCAAAATAGCTGCGTAGTGTTGTAAAGCATTACAGCCTGTGTCAATATGTGTCTAGGGTCGAGTGACATTTTCAGCGGCATTCGAATATCAAAACTTAGAAAACAAAAAGCCTGGTAGGATTAAGAGTGATAATATGAAACTTGTAAATGCTTCAAGGGGTGCAACAGCTTTTCTGTGATCACTTTGGAGCGAATTCCCATATTAGCCGAGGCGAAGCATATTTACCAGCACAAAAGTCCATAACTGTTTTATCATATGCTTCAACAATAAGATGTACAGTAACGAAGGCGAAGCGTTCGTCTGAAGCAATTTTATGTTGTCGTTTGACGGACTGCGTTCCAGTCTAACTAAGCATGCGCTCTGACAGGTTGCGGGGAATTTATTTATCGGCTACATGAGGAAATCGATATACACCAGATAACCAGTCTAAACGAATTTTTGATGACTGGTCACGTGTATATAAAAATGAATGTTATTGTATTCAATCATTAATAAAATTTCATTATTTTTCCTTTCTCTTTGTTTCGTTTTTCTTCTGTATTTTCAATCCATTAACTAGTTTGGTTTGCTTCGGTTTTATTTTGTTAAGCGTCCTTTTAACAGCTAAGGTCATCAAATGACGTGTCTCAATGTATTTAATTAAAGGATGTTTGTGTGTTTGTGTCCCAGTGCCATGGTGTGTTAATCTATTTGCCGTCTTGCCATTCCGTCTTTGCGTATTGCAGTGTTATCTTCTCTTGGGAGCAGGTATTGATTGTTACGTCACTTGTTTGTGAGAGTAACGTAATCAATTTTGGAGAAAACGACGTTATTTTCTCACACAAACCAATGACATAACAATCAATACCTGTTGATAGGACGTCGCACACTACAAAACAAAACGTAACCCAGCTCCTACGTCCAGTCGGCCGTAGCGGCATTCCGGGTGTATTTCGAGTTACATATAAAACATTATACAGTGAATGTTAAATAAGGCAATGATTTTTAAATAATAATTTCTATATTTACCTCAGGTTCTGACACTAGTTGATGTCTTTCGATGTGTATAACTTCCTAGGGTGTACGCCTTTCCGTAATTCCCATATAACGTCCTTGTCTGCAAAATGTTTATATGTACTAATATATGTTATACATGTACATGTATCAGCCGATCGTGTGGCTAAAGGTCATATTTTGCACACATTTAAATAAAGCCATTGCTATTTTAATCACTTATCTGTTGTATTGTTTAATAAATATTTGACCTGTTTGTTTATTTAGTGTTTATCTGTCTCAAAACAAAAACAAAAGAGCAGGGGTAGATTAGTTTGGTTTGCGATTGGTAAACCTGCTGTTGCAATTACCCTGAATGCAATTTTCAGGATATTGGTATGTCCCGGACTTGGGACAGAACTCTTTGCCTTTAAAATGGGCAAGTCACCCCTGTAGGCCGGGGTATGATAAAGGAAAACAATTGTTACCCACTGCATGCCCCCCCCCCCCCTCCAGAGGACACAAAATTGACCAAAATAATTCTGCAACATAGTATTGGTTGGGATCCTAATCTATTTTTCAAACCCTTATCATTACCTTTTCTACCTTTTATTTCCTAGAGCCTTGTTTGTTAATACCTAGATGCGGAAACCGTAGCTTCTATGTCCGATTGTTTAGGTAATACCTTACTTTGGCTTTTATGTTGAGCGTTTGCCCAGGTGAGGAAGGCAATGGGTTCTGTCACTAAACCGGGGCATACCAAAGTCCTTTAAAATGGTAATTGTTATTCCCTGCTTAACGTTGGGCATTAAGGGTAATGGCAACAACTGGTTTACCGGTTGTCAGTATAATGTGACCAGGCGAAATGCTGTGCTGGGTGCCTTCGGCATGGTATTTCAGTGAAATAGCGCTATATAGTCGGTATCAGATTCGCGCTATCAAAAGGAGGCAAAACACCAACATGTGCGGTCTCCCGCAAACATGTTCGCATCCACAGCCTACACGGAGGCAGGTCCTTAAATGCCAAAAACTGCTAATGGTTTATTGTCCTTTTTTGCTTGTTGCTGTTAACGACCTCGCAACATTTAGAGTCATACCTGGACTGGTTCCTAGGGAGACACCATCAGATTTGTTTTGTTTACGACCCATCGAAAATTAAGTTGTTTATGACTACGCCACTGATGTGAAATCAATACAGAAGAAACCTGAATTTAAATTTTGAATATATTGTAGAAATGACTGACATATTTGATTTCAATTCGACTTCAGAATAACAAAAATTGAACAGAACCAGAATATCCATGACCATGATGTACTTTCATATCAGGTCTGACATTTATAAGTGCAATGTAAGCTATCCTACGGTAGAATCAGGATTTTAAAGGATTTACCTGTATTTCCCTTACTGGGCCCAGCTCCTCTGCCCCGAGGGGGTCAAAACCCACCGTTTATACAAAATTGAGTCCCCCTGGCCTTATGATGCTCAATATCAAATTGGAATGAAATCCCTTATCCCTGTGGTAGAAAATGGATTTTAAAGGTTTACCTCTATTTCCCCCCGCTTCACTGTCCCAATGTATGTGTGTGTGTGTTGGGAGGGGGGGGGGGGGGGGGG